ATGATTTTATATTATTATTTGTATGATATATACTCATTTAGAGAAGAATAAAAACATTTGAAGGATTTGTTGAATATTATTAGTGATGTTCTTAATTTTTGAATGGAATTTGCAAATTGATTTTTAATACTAGTTACTTTTTTTTAAAGAAGAGATGCTCTTTAAAAGAATCAGTAGAGGTTGATTAAGCAAAGATTTAGATAAAGGGTTAATAGAATCATTAAAATCTATTTCACTGTCATATATTTCTTTAATGTAAACTATATTATTACGTTTTCTAAATTAATTAGGTAATAGTTGATATTTTGTTGATTTTTTTAAAGAATAATAATTTCATTTTTGTGATGATAACTTCATCAGCAAAAGCAGTCAGTTTATTATCAATATTATCTAACTGTTTTAAAATATTTTTTAAAACTAATGTAATATCAGTTGAACTTGATTATTATTTTGAAGTATTAAAACTGTTTTTTAATACATCAGCATATGAACCTTTTGAGGTCTAATTCAATTATATATTTGAGGTATAATTATTTAATTAATTGTTAATTTATAGGAAGACCTATAAGAGGCAGATTAAAATAATTGTATAATTATCAATATGAGTTTGAAGATTTTTGAAAAGAATAATTTTTAGCTTCGTAATTAGAACTATCATATCTATGATAATATGATATAGCAGGATTAACCTAAAGTAATACATTCGATTTAAATTTGTGTTAAGATTTAAATGTAACATCATAATCATCTTAATTATTAAAGTTAATATAAGCATAAAGACAATTTTGATATTAAAAATCTTGTGAGATAAAATATAATTTTATATTTGTATTAAGAAAGATTAAGAAATTTCATTGAGTCGTATTAAAGGATAGTCCAGTTAATTTTAATTCGAATTGTTGTCATAAAATTAATTACATAGTGTTAAGATCAGTAGATTTAATACATATTGTAAAATCTAATAATAGTATAGATTACACGTTATCATAGAAGGATTTAATTACATCAGATGATTCGTATACTATAAAGACTATCTGTTAAGAAATTCTGGTGATCATTAAAAATTTTATAATTATGTTATATTATTAAAAAAAAATTTGTATAACATTTGATTTGACAAATAAGAAAATATCATTGATCCTAATGCATTTTTCTTTTTTAGCGTTTATTCTTTATTTCTTAGCAAATATATCAGTAATTACAAATATAGGGTTGTATTACATCTCCTGAACTTTTATTACAGCATATATTAATTGTTAAATAGAGTAAAAATAGACAAAGAACTTTCTTAATTTAGAATTATAAAAAGCTTCTTGGCAGCCTGAAAAGTTAACAAATAATCTGTTAATAAAATTACGTTTATCAGCTATAGATTTTTCTGTGATATTTGCAATATTATCAGATGTAAAAAAATGCGTTAGAGAGGTAATTATATTGAAAGTGATTTCTTTCGCGTTAGAATCACATGATTGGTCAGATTCATTTACATTATTTTCCACTTGCTTTGTTATAGGGTTTTGGATTTTTTCTATAAGTACTTTGTTTTCTTGTTGTTAGTGACATTTTGATGAGAAGTTTGATGGAAAGAGTTATATATATTTTTGTAATTATTAGATAATAAATTATTAATATATATTGATAAGTATTAATTTTAAAAGTTTAAAAATACTACTATTAGATACAACATAATATGATAAATCAATATTTTAAGTTTTCTAAAATGTTTGTGCACATATGATGTCATAAAATGTGTTACACACTGAGTTTAAAGTCTTCCGCTATGCTTCGGACAATTACTAGTTTCTATCGGAACCAATCAGCGAAAGCAACGCCATTTTCTCCGCCAAAATACTATATATGTAAAATCTAATCACAAGATCGGCGAGCAATAAGTTAATACCTTCTCATTTACATCAAGTACATTTCTTGTTCGTTGTTAAAATGACTGCTGAATCAGACTCAGAATTAAAGAAATCGAATAAGCTGATAAAGAACAAACAACGCCGAAAAAAGAAAAAGAGGCCACAATATAAAGTTGAAGGAGTAGAAAACGATACGAATGGAAAAGACAAGGTGATAATTAAATAATTTTAATTTCTGATTAATAAAAAAAAAAATAATATAATATTATATTATATTATATTTCTAAAATTGTCGGATATTTTGACTTAAATTGTAAACCAATGCTACAATAAATTATATCATTCAAATTATATAATGAAAAAAGTCTTCAGAAGTCGATGACGTGGAAAAAGTGGAAATTGAGTATGTATTACAACCTCTGGATGTATCTAACGATCCTTACTTTGAAGAATTCTCAAAGGTTTTTGCCCATTTTCAGATCGCCAATAACGAGTCTGAGGTATCGTGTTCTCAGTAAATGTTTCTATATTTAAATATTTTATACGGTAATCGAAAGCATGATTTTTATTGAAAGGATAACATTTACTAAAGAACTTGGATAATGGTATAGGCACAGCCAGAGATTAAAGAAGAAGAAAAAGATGAGATTATTAAGTCTCAAGTCGATACAAAGGCAAAGGATTCAGATGTAGAATCAGACATGGAGACTGAAGAAGATAAACAGGACAAGGTGTCAAAGAAGAAACTAAAAAAACTGGCTCGATTAAGTGTTGCACAATTGAAACAGTTAGTAAAAAGACCAGAAGTCGTTGAGGTACAAATTGAAATTGTTTCTTTTTACTTATTAAAGCAAAGTACGGATTTGATATTAATTCAAAAAAAAATTTTTTTTCTTTTAGTGGGTGGACGTTACAGCAGCAGATCCTAAACTTTTAGTTAGCCTTAAAGCTTACAGAAATACGGTTCCAGTTCCACAACACTGGTCTCAAAAAAGAAAATATCTTCAAGGAAAAAGGGGAATAGAAAAACCTGCCTTTGATTTACCTGGTATTTATTTTGCTGATTATTTATTATGTGTCGTTTAAATTATACTAAACTAAGTTTTTATTAATTTAGAATTCATCAAGGATACTGGTATAATGGAAATGCGTGAGGCTGTTAAAGAAAAAGAAGATGCGGCCAAACTGAAGCAAAAGACACGTGAGCGTGTACAACCTAAAATGGGAAAACTGGATATCGATTATCAGAAATTGCATGATGCATTTTTCAGATTTCAGTCCAAACCTAAGTTAACGATCCACGGGGAATTGTGAGTCAAGTTTGATTTGAAAGTCTCCATTATATGGTAAGAATTTATTGATTTAATATTGTGTTTATTGTTAAGGTACTACGAAGGTAAAGAATTTGAGACGAAGCTCAAAGAAAAAAAACCAGGACAACTTTCAGAAGAATTGAAAGCGGCCTTGAATATGCCACCGCTTGCTCCTCCACCATGGTTAATTGCAATGCAACGTTACGGGCCTCCACCTAGTTATCCTAATTTGAAAATTCCTGGGTTGAATGCACCGATTCCAGAAGGGTACATAATTTAATCTTTGGTACTAATTAAGGAAAATTGTGTAATTAATGTTTATTATTTTTTTTTAAAAAAAAAAAAATAGGGCTCAATGGGGTTTCCATCCTGGTGGTTGGGGCAAACCTCCTGTAGATGAAGTAAGTTTTAGATACCTATCGAGTGAAAATTTCAATAAATATTAACTTTACTATTTTTATAGTATAACCGTCCTTTGTATGGTGATGTCTTCGGAACATACCAACAAGAAATTCCGTCTGATGTAATTTTTTTTGTTTGGTTTTTTTTTTTAAAAAAAAAATTCTGTTTTTTAAATTATATTTAAATTATATAGATTGTTCAACCAATTGAACGTTCATTGTGGGGTGAACTAGAGCTCGAAGAAGAAGGTAAGGGATATGTTTTTTATTTTTATTTATTTTGTAGAGTTAATAATATTGTTCTAAAATGTAAAATTTATCATATAATAGAATCAGAAGAGGAGGAAGAGGAAGAAGAGGAAGAAATTCCAGAAGATGAGTCTGCTGCGTCTAAAGCATTACAAGAAGGTCTGGTTACTCCTAGTGGCTTGTCAAGTGTACCAAGTGGCTTAGAAACTCCCGAATATATTGAGTTGAGGAAATTCCAAAACACCTCGACATCTACTGCAAACACGGCAAGCATAGCGAGTGGTTTAGAAACACCAAATTTTATTGAATTAAGAAAATATCAAAAGTACGAATTTGAATATCCAAATAAAATAATGATCATGATTTTCAAATTTTGTTAACACCCGAATTTTTTTTTGTACAGGAGTGAAGAAGATGAGCCTAAGCAATTATATACAGTGCTTCCACAAAAGGAAGCGTCGATTTCGGGATTTATGGGATCACAACATGTATATGATATATCATCAGCAGCGGCAACAGCAACTGCGGGAGCAGCAACAAAGGGAACTAAGGTAAATTAAAATATTCCACAGAAATTTTGTAATCTTGACTAATAAATAATGTTACAATTTTTATAGCGAAAAGCAGTTGGTGCTGGCGTTGATGTAGCTTTGGATCCTTCAGAGATGGCTAACCTGGACGAAGAGACTTTAAGAGCCAAGTTTGAAGAAGCTCAACAGGTTATTGAAATATTTTTTTTAATTGCTTTTTTTATGAAGGTAAAATTTTTTTTATTAATATGCTATATTTTTAGGCTACTCTACCTGAGGGAGCACACGAAGATTTTTCTGATATGGTTGCCGAACATGCAAGTAAACAAGCAAAGAAAAGACAAAAGGTTGCAGATTCACGAGCAGCAGCAAGGGATTCAGGTCCTGGTGGAAGTTCAGGAACCAAGAAATATAAAGAATTCAAGTTTTAGCCAAGTGATTGGTAGGTACAAACTTGTTTTTTTTTTTTAAAAAAAATAATTTACATGAAAGAGGAAAATTTACAATAGATATAATGAAAATATAAATAATAAGTAAAAAAAGACTTTTATAATTTACAAATGGAATTGAATAAAAAATATATATATGTGAACATTTGTGAATAAAATATATAACACAAATTTAAAAATTTTGAAAATTCCTTCATTACATTGAAGGTATCATCTCATTGTGAAGAATATCTTCAGCTTTATCTTCACCGAAATGTTTGGCAACTTCATTAAATTCATGATTTAAAGAATATCTCCAAATTTCTTTAGCATTTTCCCAATCTATCGAAACTTGATAACCACGTTTATAAAATATATTATATAATCTTTTGTAATCACGAGAATCCAAATAAGAACGTAATTTTGATGATACAGGATAAATTTGTTCTTCAGGATTCCATCTAAAAGAAAAAAAGAAAAAAAAAAAGCAATTAAACAATGAAATGTTTTATAGGATGTAATTGATGTAATATCAAGTGAAACAACTTACATTTCTATTTCATCATCACGATTTCTTACATGACCATTGCAAAATGCCCAAGATACGGCCGATAAACCATGAATCCTCAAATCATCTGCTAACGAATCTACAAACACAAAAGAATAAGCTTTTAGTATATCCTCGTAATAACGCGATGAAAACATAAAGTGAATTGAATTATTTACCACATAAACAATCAAAATAAGCTTGAAAGGCCGGATTGAGGAAAGTATAATGTTGCATGTGATATACGTATGCATTATGAAAATGTTCAGGAACATTAGAGAGACCATCCCAACCTTATAAACAAAGAAATCAGTAAATTCGAGTTAAAAAAAAAAAAAAAAAAAGAATGAACGAATGAGCAGGTAAAATACCTTTGTGAACAGCCAAACTTATCAACATCTTACCAGCTTTTCTACCAAATCTTAAACCGGGATAATTTTGACCTGGAAATTGAGGTTTATCTTTGGAAAATTCACCACGTGGATCTAAATGAAGGAAGTGAGAAAATAAACACATTTAACAAAATCATTCTATCTCATTATGAAATAAATAATAGCATTACCTTGCATACAAATCCATTCGATTAAACTTAATAAATATCTATCGTTTAAATGATTTTCCATAAATTTATAAACTTCCGAGGCGCCAAAACCATCAATGTACTTAATCTTTTGGATTTGTTTATCTTTAAACTTTTCATTATGAAAAGTTTCGATCCTTCTTAAAATTTGATAAGTTTTAAAATCACTTAAAATGAAATCTTTTTTTCTTACAAATAAATTAATTAAAAATCGTCCATTAATCAAAGAATTGGTATACAATGATTTGTCAGTTACACACAATTGATGTACAAAATAATCGGAAGTATCAAGATTAATGATAATGTCTTTGTATCCTCTCTTCGCTAATTCTTTTTTTATACCGTATTTATCAAGATACAAATGAATTTCATCTAAAGAATAATCTCCTAAAAATTTTTGTGTGGAAGGTGCAAATAGATCATCATCCGTCAATACAAATGATGGTAATTCATATGCGTGTGCTAATTGTTGTAACGTGTTAATGAATTGGAATGAATTTATTGAGGAATTTACTCTATTGCTTAAATTTTCGACGAATTTTGTTAGATAATGATTGGTTTTTGTTGTAACGTTTTGATCGATTATGGAAGGTGGTATTTCTTCTTGAGGAACATGGTTGTTTTGTTTTTTTATTTGTTCAGACATTTTATATGTATATATAAATTTTTCGCGTTTGAAATTTTATTTAATTGTTTGAATTTATTTGAATTTATTTAAATTTTTTTTCGCGTCCCTTTTGTTTAAAAAAGGAAATTAAAAGTTTCAAAAAAATCAGGCTACAATTAAAACCTCACCTCATTATTAATGTTTTATTATCACAAAAATTTGAGGCAACAATTTACATCATGTCGTCTTGGCAAAGACCACCCCCCATGTGTTGATGTCGATGATTTACATCATGACACCTTTGATCAATGATAAAATAAATGACGTGATTTTTTTTTTTATTATTAAAAAAAATATATTCTTTCCTTGTTACTACCTATGGAACAAATCCCAATAATTGATTTTTCATTATTTGATCAAATTGATTGTTCTAAAGAAATCAAGAGAGCAAGTGAAACTATTGGATTTTTTTATTTAAAAAATCATGGAATTTCGCAAGATGAAGTTGATAAAATGTTTCAACTTGCAAGTAAAAAAAAAAAAAAATCAATTCTTTCCCTCTAGCGTAATTATTGCGCTAATAAAGATGATTTTTTTTTTTTTAGGCAAAAGAATTCTTTGATTTATCAAAAGAAGAAAAATTAAAATATACAGTGAATGAAAATTATAACGGTTATGTTTCTGTTCATCAGGAAATGCTTGATCCTTCAAACCAAAAAATCGGTGATTGGAAAGAGTATGTTTGTTTTCTTTTGAAAAATTCCTACTCGAAGCATATAAATTTCTATATTGAATCAAGTCCCATTTTTGATATATATACGTATATATATATATATATTGTAGATGTTTCAATTTCGGTAAATTACATGATGAAAAACCGAGATCACAAATATTACCTCCATATTTCGAAGGGAAAAGTGAATTCATTAATAAATTCGAAAAGGTTTCTATCATTGAAAAAATCAATCACCTCTTTTTCATTTCCATTCACTTAAGTGTTCGCAATGATTTAATTTTAATTTAATTTATTCAGAAATGTCATCAGTTATGTATGAAAATCTTGCAAGCTTTTGCTATAGCGTTAGAAATACCACCAGAAGAAGGTGGTAAGAATTGGTTTGAACAAAGACACAAATATGAAAATGATTCCGGTGATACATTAAGGATATTACATTATCCTCCTATCAAACATAACATTGATGAGAAAGATATTCGCGCGGGAAGGTAATAAAATGACATCTCATATATATATATATTTTTTTTTTCAATCATATGTATCAAAGAATTAAGCGACTCATCATTATTGCTGCGTAGTCACACGGATTACGGTTCCCTGACAATTTTATTTCAAAAAGATATCGGAGGTTTGGAGGTAGAATTACCTTCGACAAAACAATGGATTTCTGCTCCTGTGATTAATGATTGCGTGTTGATTAATATAGCAGATTTATTAGAATATTGGTCGAAAGGTTTATTTAAATCGACTAAACATCGTGTTGTATTTAATGATGATACTGTGAAAAAGGATAGATATAGCATAGCTTATTTTTGTCATGCTGAAAATGATGCTGGTTTGGATCCTATTCCAAGTAAATATTTAGAAAATTTGGTTCCGTTAAATCTGGAGAAGGGAATTTCTTACGGTGTCGACGGTGTTAAAAAACCTTCAACTGCCGGTGAACATTTAATGTATAGATTGGTCTCTACATACCAATACTAAAAAAAAAAAAAATTTTCTTTGAATACGAATAAAATGAAACTGTTGATACACCTTTGACAATAGAAAAGGGAGAAACTGCCGGGAAAAATAAAAATGGGAAAATTGATCGAATGTCCCCTGTAATCTTGTGATATTGTGAAACGAATAAAAAAAAAAATTTTAATATAAAAGTTTCATTCCCCAAATCTTTTCACTTTTTAGCTATTTTTGTATTGAAATGGGAGGAACGCAAAGTACAGAGGCTAAAGGATATGGATATCATGTATTACGGGTAACCGTGGAATTTAAAATTTATCTTTTTATTTTTTTTGAATTTGAAAAGTTGTACTAATTCGTTTTCCCCTTATTATATGATAGGTACAAGAGAATTCTCCTGCTTACACTGTAGGCATAGAACCATTTTTCGATTATATCGTTGGAATTAATGGAGTTCAATTGGTACCTTTTTTAAATTCAATTTTTTTTGAATTCGTTTTTTGTTGGAGAATTTCAATGCATTATTAAGTAACATTTTTATCATATCTTTGCTTAGGTTATTGATAGTTCATATCTTCAAGAACAATTGCTTTTAAATATTGATAAAGAAGTCATCCTTTTAATATATTCTACAAAAGAACAGGAATTTAGAGGTGTGTTGATAATTTTGCCTAATAGGAAGTAATTGTTGCTTCATTGCATCTTTTTTATTGATCAGTTTACATTGTTATTATTATTATTTGATAAAAAGAGGTTTCACTAATTCCTAATAGAGATTGGTCGAGCAATTCCCAAGATGGATTAATTGGTGAGAATTTTTTTTTAAGATATATATAGGTATTTATATGTTTTTTTAAAAGGAAAAAAAAAAAAAAATTTTAGTTGACTATTCTTAACTATGTGATTGAAGAATAGGTTGTAGTATTCGATATTGTTTATATGAGGTTCGTCGAATTCGAAATTAAATAATCGATCGAATCTTTATTTCAAAACTGTTTGATTAGATTTTTTTCAATAGATTCTAATTTTTTATTTCATTCTTTTGTTATACCGTAAAAAAAAATGATTTATAGAGCACTAACGAGAATGTGTGGCATATATTGGACGTTGCGGTGGATAGCCCGGCGGAAATGGCCGGTTTGGTATGAAATTTTAATTAGTTTTTTTTTTTGTTATTTCCCCCAATCTTAGAAATTATTAAATTTTCTTTTCGTATAACCTATAATCAAGGTCTCAATGACAGATTACGTAATTGGAACACCGCATGCTACCCTACGTAATGAATCGGATTTTTATGATTTAATTGATGTATATTTGGGGAAACCACTTCGACTTTATGTATATAATGCTGATTTTGATGTTTGTAGAGAGGTATTTTAACAATATTTCAAGATTTTCGAAAAGCGGGATGATTGGTCTTGGGGAAAAAAAAAAAAATTTATCAACTAATCCTTTGTTTCTACTGCCAAAAAGGTTATAATTGTTCCAAATCATGAATGGGGTGGTGAAGGATCTTTGGGTTGCGGAGTTGGTTACGGGTAAGCATTTATATGCACTAAACATTTGCCCAACCAATACTTTACTGATTTTTTTTTTTTCAAAAATCATAGGTATCTTCATAGAATCCCAAAAACGAACAAATTCAAATCACATGAACAAGAATTTACATTACCGTGGGATGCTTCACCTCAAGAGACACGGATAGAATCATCAGTACCTGCTACCACTACCAATTTAACCAATTATCAACATTATAATCCCGAAAATGATACTATAACACCAACTTTATATCACGTTGAAAGTAATAACAATGAGCAAAATGCTGAATTTTTTACTCCCGCAAATCTTCAACCAAAAATGATGAATATTGAAAGGGTGAGTAATGAAAGTGAGAATATAATAACTTCAGAAAAAGTTGGGATCAATGATAGAGAGATCGAGGAAGCTTTTGAAGAAAAAGTTATTCTTAATGAGAAGCAAGGAAAACAAGATTAATAATGATAACAATATACAAAATGATTTACATACGGTAAATTTTTTATTAATAGTTTAGGCTTTTTTTTTCTCTTAAGGTGTGAAGATCTTTTATAAAATTATTTTAAGAGTTTTCTAAAACAAATATTTAATTAGTAGTTTAATACAGTAAATTTTTTCTTAATAAAATTTATATATCTGGTAGTTCTTTTTTTTTTTTTTTTTTTTTCGTATATTAAATTAGTAAATATTTCAATACTTATACAAAAAAAAATATATATATATAATATAAAACATCCGACCAAAATTGAAATACAAGCATTTAACTATAATAATGATTTTTAATCCGAACAGTCAAAAAAAAAAAAAGGTTTAAACAGCTATTCTCAATTAAACTTTGGCTACTTGATTTGTTAAAATAAAATATACATATATCATATGTAGTATATTATTTTACGTATTTTAACGATAGTCGATTTCTTATTTCGTAAATTACAATGAAAAACTTCTTAGGGAAAAGAAAATACTAAATTTAATCATTCATCCCATTCCCAAACCTGTTTAATCCATAACTTCAAATTCACACGTCTTTGTAATGACAATTGGATAAATGGATGATCAAGCATTTGTTTAGGTGTAGGGCGTAACTCTCCATTCTTTTCCAAACTATTTAAAAAATGAGATGACTATTTAGAGACAAGAACAAAGTGAATAAATGATCTATACATATTTTTTAACGAAATTTTTACCAAATTTTTAAGAAATCTTTAAGTTCTTCACTCCATTCACACTCTGCACTAAGTGTGGGAGCAGGCATGTTCGCAATATGCGTAATTAATTCGATCGGGGACAATACAGAAGGAAACGGAAATTTATTTTCTGCAACTTCCATTATCGTTAATCCCAAAGACCATACGTCAGCAGATACCTTATATGGCAAACCTCGAATTCGTTCAGGCTAAATATTCAAATAATTAACATGAGATGGGCTGAACGAGCAAATGTCTACATTATGTAAAAAAAAAAATCGATCAATCAAATAGCTGTTCTCACTTACGGCCATATAATAACTAGTCCCCAAAAAAGTTTCTGCCATTGATGCGACTAGTTTACCAGAGACTCCAAAATCGCAAATTTTTATTTCTCCCCTCCTGGTCACTAAGATATTCGACGGTTTTATATCTTAAAAAAACAAGAAGATATTTCATTAGTTGCTACTTTAACCTAAGTAAATTATGTAAACAACTCTAACCTCTATGAATGATTTGTTTGCTATAGAGGTATACCAATCCTTTAAGAACCTAATACAATCATATAAGAAATCGTAAATCGTAAATTAAAATAAAATATAACTTGATATTTTTATAATAATAAAAACTTACTGATTCGCCAATTTTCCCAAGAATTACTTCTCCGATCCTTCCTTCTCTTTTGCTCACATTTTTGTAAATGGCATCTAAACTACCACCCTCACAATATTCCATGTAAATCGCGATCGATGAATTGCTATCTTCTAATGAAGCTCCAAAATATGCCACGATATTTGGTGAATGACATGTTCGAAGAAATTGAAGTTCACGAAGAATTTGCCTATGTATATTTGGCTCTGGGTCAACATTAATTTTCTGGAGAAAGGAATAATTTACATTTTTAGTATAAGATAAATATAATGATCAAAAATCTAGTAAAATTTGTTCGATCAATGAAAATTATATAAATATTAGATAGATCAAATTAATGAAGTTCAAAAATAAATTTTAAATTAAAATTAAAAAAACCTTTTTTGCCATTATGCGTCCGTCTCCAATATGTTTTACTTTAGTCACTGTACCACCGGCGCCCTCACCCAATCTAACCAGCTCTATAAAGTGTTCAGGATTTATTTCCACTGAATCCTCACCGTCTGGAACGGATACGCTTTTAATGGTTTCGTTTTGAAAAAGACTTCCGTTTTCTTCAGCTGGTGGCTGATGGTTTGGTTTTCCCATAGCCGTGATAAGTTCAGTAGTCAAGCGCTGTTGCTGTTGCGTCGCACTAGAACTACTCGAAGAATTTTGAGCAGGGACGATAAGTGGTGAAAGGGATGAAGGAGCTGAGGAAGAAGGGGTATGGGAATTGGAAGGAATTTCGAGACGAGTTGGGCGGGCATTACGGAGTATATGTTTACTACCTGACATTATTAGATTAATAAGAGTCTTTATCGAAACTAAAAAAAAAAAAACTTTCAAAAAGTATTTGTCTTTGACGTTATGTCTGAGACAAATTGGTCATCAAAATTTGTTAAGCTAATAAGCCGTATATAAATTAGAAAGAGCGAAAATTTATAAAAAAAAAAAAATTTAACTTAAATTAATTTCATACTAAGTTAAAGTCACAAAATTAAATGATATCAATTTCCTAACAATCATTTATACAATGAGAATTAGCGAAGAAATTCTTTATAGAAATTCTTTTTAAGTCTGGTCGGCCGAAATTATATTTTTAATTTTAATATTTATAATAACATTTTAATTACCAAATAACTTTTTAATAAATTTAGTAATAAAGTACTTAAAATGTATTAAATTCCTAATATAGTTTTGTGCAATCGACATCTTTAATATCTAGACTTTGTGCAATCGACTCGGACACTTTGCATATATTGGACTAATTATTCCCCCCCCCCCCGAAATTTATGTTTCCGTCTAATAAGGTTCTCAAATTCTGAACAAAAAATAGATATTAGCTTTTTGAAGTTTGATCGTTTTTTAATTGGACATATTCAATGTAAAAAACGCGTTAATTTTTTTTCTTAAAAAGAAACTTAATAAATAAACGTGGACCGCGAGATAACAACACAGTTAAACTTTAAAATACCAAATAAAATTTCCTTCAACAGCAACAACCACTACGAAAAATTCTTCCTCTTACTCAATAGCAACAACCAAAACTTCTTAAACATTTTGCCGGTATGTCATTTTACAAAAATGTGCCGTTATTAACAAAAAGTTATTTTTAATTTGATCACGTTTTAGGAAAAAATCCGAACGATCAACTTTAATAAAAATTTTTTTCTGTAATTAAGTAAAAAGTCAAACTAACTCACAATTAGTAGTAATTAGTCAATAACCATTTATGGTAACACATATATATATATGGCACATAATCGTGTCAAACTTATCCTTCGCTATTTCGAGTACCTTTCGCCATTCCGGGTACAATCTAAAAACGAGGAATTTTCGCTATCTGCCAGTCCAACGTTAAATCCAAAAAGGTCTTTATTTATTTTACTGAAAAATTAATTATTTGATCTTTTTTTTAACTCTTGATTTTCGCGTTTGCAGAAATATGGCGCAGATGATTTTAAATTGTTTTATCCTAGGTGACACTCATGGGTTTTCGGTTGTTCTTGGAGAAAAAATTATTATTAAGAATACCATCCCTTTTGAAAATTTCAATGTTGCACTTCTCATAGACTATATCTGGGAAAAGAAAAAGGATATTATTAGTAGACATAACATAGACCTTTGGAAGGTTGAAATCGAAGAAACTGATGAAAACATAGAAAAACTTAAAAATACTGAAATTAACATTAGAAGAGAATTTGAAAGTGAGAGGTTGTCTACAACTAAATTGGCTAAGAATATTTTCTCAGTTGGACCACCGGATGAGTGCATCCACATCCTTGTGCAAACGCCTTTGTCTGACCTCTGGTAAGTGTCTTCTAATGGTTTGCCTCTTGAATAAATCGCGGATCTTTTTATTAATCAGCTTGTTTCTCAGTTTCCATTTTTTCCATTCTTTCACAAAGAACCACCAATGAAAAAAAGGCACTTTGGAAAATAGATCCTAAAGAAATATCTGTTATTCAAAGTAAGAATGAGGTTCAACAGGTCCCTGTGTCAGAAACAGAGTTCCAAAGAATGCGCATGTATCATCAATTATATATAGATAAAACATGTTGGTTAACTTAACTTCGATTAAATAATGATTAATATTTTGTATTATGGTCTCAAAAATTTGGCAAAACAATGTTTCTCTCAATGGTTGAATCTTTCTACTTGGTTTAATATAATCTCTTTGAGAATCTGTACATACAAGATCATTTACCAAACATTTTTGTCAATAATAAAGCAGAGAAATAGGATGAGAACTTGCCTCTGATCCCAATAATCAGGCTTGACTTTTCTTTGTTAACATCAGACAAAGGATCAGAAATATTAGAAAAGGACTTGATTTGAGTATTACAATCAGTTGGAGAGCAATATAGCATCGACATCGTGAATGATAATGTTAAGAGAGCTACTTTTAAATTAATTAAGTCATTAGCTGATGATAATGAAAATAAATATGAACAAGTGGTAATCCCAATAAAAAATTTGATATAAAAATTCCATAAAAATATTAAGTTTTATAATGTATAACTTTTATGAAAAATCAGT